AATTCTCTTTCCAACACATATCACACTTCTTTTAAGGTTTTAACACTTGTTATCTTCTCAAAGATGAATTCATCAACAACTCGGTACAACATGTAAATGGTTGTGTTATCCTTCTCACGCTTCTCTCTCAATGCTTTGTTTATGGCTACTAAAAGTCCTTCGGTACTTTCTGATTTTTCAAAACCATCATCGACTATCTTCCAATTACTTTAAGATCTCATAAGGGGTTTCATCTCGAGAGCTTAACTATCATACATGACTGACATGACCACACTATTTATTAGATCAGTCATCACTCTCTTCAAGTACTCTCACGCTCAAACACTTAAGCCTCAATTCTTAATATCAATTTGATAATAAATAATTCTTGAATATTGAATATTATTGATTCTTTGTCATGCAAAATAAAGAATTACACTTGAGTATTCAAAGACTATAACTTTGTTTTTTTAAAACCCTACCATTTACTCACGGGAATAAAAATAATAACTACTTAGAATCGTAATATTAATTATCCAAGATATGTGCAAAATCAAAATATTTCAACTAACTTTTAAAATTATTATTTTCTATTTAATTTTATCCAACATGTTACACTTGTTGCATTGCACTAGGCCTTTTCCAGCATTTAAATAGAGGGTGACTCATTTTACCACAATGTTGCTAACATGGGTAACTTTTCTTTTTACCTTTCCTTTGCTATAATTATTTTCAGTACTCCATTTTCTGGAAACTTGTTATTCTTGTAGTTTTTCTTTTTATTTCTTCCAACTTATTAACCTTTTACTTGCAGAGCACCTTCAATCATGTGATCTTGCCTCATAAGTCTTATTTTCTCTTAGTATTGTAAAGCATGTATGACATCAGACAGAGCAACCTTGGACAAATCTTTTGTATTCTCCAATATGGGCATTGATGCTTCATATTTCTTAGATTAGTAACCATACTTTGTATTAACTATTCTAGAATCGAAAAATTTCGTGCCAAACAATCTAACCTTGTTAGCAATGCTTAATAATTTGTCTGAGTACCCTTTAATTGTCTTAGACTCTTGCATTTTTTGCAATTTGAATTCTACATCAAATGCAGAACTTACATGCCTCACATTCTCTCATCCCCTGCATACTCTCCATTCAAGTAATCCCAAATTGACTTTGAAGGCTTGTGAGTCATGATCCTAGTAAATATGGCTTGAGAAACACTAGCAACTAGGTACGATCTTGCCTTTACCTTCTAGGTTTTCTTTTCTTTGTGGATCTTTATTTGGGTCATGGTGTGTTATGCCCAAAGTGTGTGGGTATCCTCCAAAGTCTCACATCGGGTAGTTTGAAGAAGGGGAGTGGTAGACTACTACTATAAATAAGGGGTGATAGTTTGGGTATACTCACCACAATAATATTAGTTTTTGGGTGTATTGGGGACTTGGGTAGTTGTGTGTATGAAAGGGTTTACAATTTTTTCGTGCAAAAATTGTATGAGAGAGTTTGCAATTTTGTCCTTGTAAAAATTGCAAGTTGAAGAATGAAGAGTTGTTGAGTGTGTTAGTGGATGTAAGCAAGAAGTGTCGAACCACGTTAATTTCTGAGTTTGTTTCTCTACCTTTGTTTCTCTTGTGTGTGTTTCCGCAGGTGAAGATTTCTTTTTCCTTTTGGTACCCAACAGTGGTATTAAAGCCAAGTTGGTGTGGTGGGGCTATGTGGGATTCTTAATTCTTAGTATGTTATGTGGTTGCAGCATTATCTGATCTTCCACATCAGAAAATAATTGAGGTTTTGTTCAAGGGAGGAAGAGAAACAGTACATGGGCCAGAGCAGTGCAGTGTTATGACTATGATGAAATTAGATGTTCCTTTGTTTGATGGGAGGATAGACTTCTCCTTATGGCAATACACAATCCAAGACTATTTAGCCCAACAGGATGGTAGAAGATTCCAGTAGAGAGATATGAGTATTGTTCAGTGTCATTACTCTGGAGAGTTTGGTCACGTTCAAGTTAAATGTCCAGAATTCAAGAAGGACTTGAAATACATGAAGGAAAAGAAAAGTATTCCTTCTGTAAATGTGGTTTGTCATGATGATGGATTAATGTGAGACTTTGGATGAAGGGAGGATATGTTGTGCCCAAAGTGTGTGGGTATCCTCCAAAGTCCCACGTCGGATAGTTTGAAGAAGGGAAGTGATATACTACTATAAATAAGAGGTGATAGTTTGGGTCTACTCACCACAACAATATTAGTCTTTGGGTGTATTAGAGACTTAGGTAGTTCTGTGTATGAGAGGGTTTGCAATTTTTCTATGCAAAAATTGTATGAGAGGGTTTACAATTTTGTTCTTGTAAAAATTGCAAGTTAAGAAATGAAGAACTATTTCTCTCGTGTATGCACTTCAGCAGGTGAATATTTCTTTTCCCCTCTGGTACACACCCAACATGGTGGGATTATTAGATAGCGAATGTACTTCGTAATCTTTGTCCACGACTTCTTATAAATCCTCTAACACTTCTAAGACTCCATTTTTATTGTCCTGAGATCATAGTTTTCCCCATCAAAGATAAAAAGAGTACCTTAAGAGAAACTCAATTTAGCGTCCATTACACATATCCTTGAGAAGAAAGCTTGGATATAAATATAAATTAATGATACTATGAGATTTCAATACATAGGAAAAGATAATATAAAAGAGAGTGAAATTTTTCTTTAAAAATACATGCAAGTGAAAAAGCGTGATTAATTTATCTTTGTCTTTATTAATTCAAAACATATATAACCAATAAAATAACTTACCAAGAACATGTCTTAAAAAGCAGGATTAACAAATTCAAAACATAAAATTTGTTTATCTCCTAGAAAATAAAAAAACTGACTTTAAATAATAACAAAATAAATACAACACTCTACACAACTCACAAAACTCTATGCAAATGGTTATGAATTATCCCATTCTGGTAAAATAGTTCTGGACTTATTATATACAAAAATATAACTATATATTCAAATGGTATCATTCCATCTTGACACCCACAAAAATGACCTAGGTATTCTCATTTGAAGTTTTTTTTTTTTTAAGCTATTTAGATTCTCATTTATCAGTTTTATAAATTACCAATGAGACGGAAAAACTGAATTGATCTTATCTTCTTTCACAAATATTTTGGTAGTAAAAAATACAACATGTTGTTATTTGAATTAAAAATATTTTATTATTTCACTCAATTTATATTTCAGAATTATACTCGCTTTCATTTTAACTATCTATTTATCCTCTTATAAATAAAAAAAATATAAATATAACTAGTATAAAAATGAAATATAAAGAAAAATCATTAAGCAAAATATAACATTTATTGATAGTGGATAACTTTCAAATATGATAAATACTAAAAACACAAATTTAGTCCTAAGTATTAAACTTTCTAACGAGGACCACATTTAAAGCCAACTCAATAAAAAAATTAGAAACCCATGAATAAAAAGATATTATTGATTTTTTTTTCAATTTTCGGGAGTATATTTCCTTCTTGAATTTTGGACCATCAAAATAATATAATCTAAATCGGTTGTTATATTTAAATATAAAATTATATATTTAAAATTAATTAACAATTAAAAAATATAAGTTTTTTATTATATTTTATTTACAATATATTTATATTTATTAAATATAATAACTAATTTATACTGTATTTTTTAATTATAAATTTATATAATTTATTTATAAATATGAAAGAAAGTTAAAATTATAATATAATAACTATTGTCCAGAAAAAAAATCACAACAAAATAAATTTTAATTATAAAATTTTAATAATTAAAAAAAATTAGTTAACCATTTAACAATAATAAAAACTACAAAAATTTATTCAAAATCAAATCCCAAAAATATATTAATTTTAATTTTAAATTAAATTAAATCAAATCACATTTAATTTTTATGTTTAATTCAAATCAATATTTAATATAAAAATAAAGTAAATCCGTGAACACTCTCACCAGGATTTCTTCGACATTGAAAATATTTATTCATCTGAAAAAATATTTAGTAATGTAATAATGTGAGTATGTTAAGAATAAAATATTGTTTAATTGATTATAAAACTCAATAAAGAGAAAGATAAATAATTTTATTTTTCATAACATACTATCTAACTAAATTAAAGTTTTGTAAGTTTTGACTCTAAACTAGAGCATTGAATTTTGATTGAAACTCGTGTTAGGGAAATGAGGAAGTCAAGTTTTTGAGCAAGTAAAAGAGGGGAAATAAGTTAGTAATTCATACTATTCTCATTATGAGGATGCTGTCCACTTTAATTTTTAGACTGTACAACTACTTAAAAAAAATGTTGAATTGCAAATAATATTTAAAAAGAAGTTAATTATTTAAATAATAACATAATATATATGTTTTTAGATGTTTTAACGAAAGTAAAAATGTATATTTAGGTTGTTGTGTTGTGATGCTATAATCTATTTTATTTTGATGTGTAAGTGTAATATGTATATGCTATTTTATGTGTATTATGACTAGAAAACATTTGAAATGGAGGATAATCTCTATGTCTTAGCTCTCATTATTCAATTAAAGTATTAGTCTATAGAAGGATGAGTCAAAGCGATAAAAAATATGGGTTAAACGGTGGTGATTGTCCTCAAGTAAAAAATCATTTAGTGATAATTTATTCAAACAAAAGGTCATTACAGGATAAATAATTAATATGACATGATTTTCGTTCAAGAAACAAAGTGTCACTTAAATAAAAATACGTGTAAAGAAGATATTATTGATTTGGCATAAGCAACAAATTGTCACTCAAACAAAATACAAATAAAAAAAGTTGATTTTATATATTAACTACTCAAGAAATCATGGTGTTACTCAAGCGAATAACAAATAAAACGAATGACATATTTTTATAGACATTTTGCTCAAGTAAGAGTTGTGACGTTCAAGTCAAGTAAAGCAATTATGTCACTTCAGCGAAATGAGACAAATACTATAAGTATTTCACTCACGCTACAAGTGGTTGATCAAGTGAAATATATTTATTTGATGAATAAATCAATGAATAAAAAGTTGAGAATATGCATAAGAGATTGAATCAATATAAAAGTATGACTCATAATCGATTTAAATATATGTTATATATTGTTAGAAAATACAAGTATGAAACTTAAAATCACATTTGTATTTCCTAACAATATATATGTAAGACTAAGTCGAGTAGAAAATGAGATTCAAAATTTGTGAGGTAAATCAATTTACAAATAATAGTAAAGAAATGACAAATACTTAGGGAATAGTATAGTATGTTGTTTATATGACAATTATATTTATGTAAATTTAATGACCTCTTAAATATAGATACAATTATAATTAATTATATTTTATAGGCAGAAAAAGTCAAAATAATGATGATAATTAGAAAATATCAGGTATAATATCCATTTCAAAGTAATTCAAAATATATATATATATATATATATATATATATATATATATATTTTGGTAGATACGATGTGTAATAATGAAATACTTGAATATTTAATAATACAAAATATATTTAAAATTTTTGATAATTATAATAATATTATTAGGTGAGAGCACAAGTAAGATGTTATATATGAACAACATATTAGACTAGATGGATTTATGAAAAATATTTTATATATGATCTTATTTATGAAACATATTTTATATATGATATTGTACTTGATAAAAATAATTTATATTAAAATTTTATTAAATGTTACGTATATTATTTATAAAATAATTAATATTAAAAAATTATTATAATAATAACGATTTTTAGTATATTATAATTTCATTCATCAATTGGATTATTGAGTTTATAATGACTTTTTTTTTCTCTTTTTGTCTTTAAATCAATCTTCTGATGAAGAAGAAGTTGACTTGGACTTAGTTGTTTGCATTTTCACGGGTTTTAAATCTAATAATAATAGTAAAGAAATAATTATATATGACTTGATTTAAGTGATATAGAATATTTTTTAAAATTGTTATCAAGTTTATGCTTGTAAATAGAGAAAATGAAATGGGTAAGAGTTTCATTTTCTAAAATCAAAATTAATGAAAATCCAAGGCAATATCCAATTGCTAAAACAAATTAGTTATTAAGAAAAAGTGATTAAACACGAGTAAAAAGAATATACTCTTTTTGTTTATTCAATGATATTTTGAAAAATAATGAAATTGAGAATAGAAAAAAAATTAAAAGAAATCTTAAAAAATTATCAATATTCTTGAAAATAATATTTACAATCCATAATCTTAATCATATTTTATTTTGTGTTTATTTACACAAACTTTGAAATTTTTAAAAGAGAAAAGATAAGAAGAAAAAAAATTGTATATATTAAAATTAATTTATGTATATTTAACTTTACGTAATTTCTATTTCTTTTCACATGTGTTATATCTCTTCCTTTTTATATTTATGTTCTTCAGGATTCATATAATGGGTCATTTATTTAGAATTTTTTTTTATAGAAAACAATACATAAATATGAATCCAAAACTATATCAACAAACCTGTCATCGTATTGGATGACCTTGCAGTGATGGTTGGTGCTTTAAATTCAATAATGCATAATTTTTAACACTTTAATATGGTCATGGTTGGTATAATTTGAACTTAATATTAAAATGTATATAATTATACCAATTTTTTTCCAGTTTCTGATAATTATTGTTGTTCATTTTTTTTTCAATTTAAATGTTGTGATATATTTAAATTAATTTCAAACGTTATATGTTATGAATAGCAATATTTATAGGTGAAGTATAATTTTAGTGGTATGAATTTATGAATATTATGTTGTTTATTGAATTTAATATATTATATTAAAAATTCAAAATTAGTTCAACTACCATTGTATTATGAAACTATTGTGTTCACTTTTTTTCAACAACTCTGATTTTAAAAACATTATCAAAATATGGAATTATTAAAATAAAAACAAAATCTAAAATATAAATTAGTTGTAACAAACCAAGTGATCATAACACCATTATTTAACACCATATGTTTTGATTTGGATTAAGTATTAATGACTTATACCTTCATCATTATAAATAGTGATAAAATAATCATTAATTTTACATGTATTCAAATTTATTTGAAAAGTGTGATATAGGTGAACTTGTTTGTCAATATGTGAAAAGAAGTTTAATTATAATTTTTTTTACTTTTATTTATGTGTTTGTTTAATTCACTTAATACAAATAAGTAGTTGTATGTTTTATTTTAAATTACCTATTTATTAAATAAGTAATTTTTAAAAATTTTACTTATTTTAAAAATATTGACTTTAAACTTAACCAAACTTGTATAGCAGAAAATAACAATAGATAATGTAATGATGCAAAAGTAATGACAATTGTACTGTTTTCTCCTTTGCTTCAAATGTTCCAATAATACAAAATTTCATTTTTATGAAGACAAAACAAAAATATTTAAGGTATGTTTTAGATACTAAAGGATATACCCTAAAAAGAAAAATTTGTTATTCCATAAGAAATACCAAATGAACAGAATACCAATATCAACCAAAATTAACGCTAGAAATATATTTTATTTAAATTAAGTATTAAAAAATTTATATTATATTTTAGTTTTTAAAAATATTATTTAAAATAAGAAAAAAATATCACATTATTATTTTTATTTAATGATTAAAATAAAAATATTATTAATATTTATATTTTATTTTATATAAAACACATGAATAAAATATTATAATAATTTTTTTACAAAGTGGAGTGACTTTTTTTTTTTACATAGATTAAGCAATTAATGAAAAAAAGTACTTTATATAAAACTCCCAAAAGATTTTAAAGCATAACGCTGCGTTTTTTAAATTGTTTTTTAAACAACTAATAAAATTGTGTTGTAAAAAAGTTTTGTACTGGTGAAACCACACCTAAAATTAGGTAATCATATTCATATTTTATTTTTATTATAGTATATATATTAATACTACTTAAAGAATCAAATTTAAGAAGTTTTTCACATTTAATAGTGAGATAACATCCTGGTCTCTCACTTCTCTGCGTGCATCAAATTTTATGTTCTAACATTCAGTTTTTATACATTATACATTTTTAAGACTTGTGAAACGGACATTGTTTATCTTTTCAATTATTGGTTTTCTGCTTTTCTGTTGTTCCTCGGTTTTCATTATAACATAGTTAAAACAAATTATAAGTTTTTTTTTATTATTTATTAATATAGAAAAAAAAACTAAATTAATAACCTTTTGTTACACTATTGGTTCTTTGGCAAGTAATGAAAATAACAGTTAAAGTGTTACTAATGAAATTAAACTTACAGAAAACACCAACTGTAAGTAGATATTAAGATGATAAAAGAACTAAAATAATACAAATAAAAGATAATGAGTAAATAAATAAACAAAAAATAATTGTCAAGGCAAAATATTAATTTTACCTAAAAATCTTACTGTAACTTAAATAATTGGAATAAATTGCATAACAATGATGATCCCCGTATCCTTTTAAAATTTTAGCATCTTTCTGAGAGAAAAAAAAAAATCCACTTTACTCCGTCATTTCCCTCCCAAAAACTTAACCAAAGCGGAAGAATAACATTTAGATGACAGTATCTACCAGAGCTAGTCTAACTAGGGAGACATTTATTCAGCATACAACATGATACTATTGGCAAATATTCAACGTATCAGATAGAAATCGAACGTGATAAGGAGTTAATTCTACGTTAAGTATACCCAGTGATAATGATTCAATTTCACGCATTTTTTGACTTGTCAAACGGTAATGGGTGAGTTCATTTCATTCAGTATGCGGCAGTATCTATTATGGTCTGAGGTGTTTTTGAAGCCAGGAAGGAAATCTGCAAAGAATCTTAGAACCGCAGCAAGATGTTGAGAGTCATTCGAAACAAATGCTGCTTCTAAGAACAATGATGGCCGGATGGTATCCACCTGAAAGTAATTCCAATAACTAGTTAGCTATAAGTCTTTTCAAAATTAAACAAAATCATAAAGACAAACATTGCGATACTTGTTTCCCTATACAAATCTCTCAACATAACATTCATATTAGATTTTATACGTCAGATGGAACCGACAACTAACCATTTACTATAATAGAAATAGGCAGAATAGTTGCAATATCAATAATTTGACAATTACATTGTCTTTCATCAGTGAAAGCTCTCGTATCAAAATTAGAGTTATCAAATGGTTCGAACAGATAGATCAAGATGTAAACGTCTCAATACAACTCGGTCCAAATTTCAAATGGACTATACTTTTTAGGCCCAGCCCAGCCCAATTTGAAGTTAGTGGACTATTTTGACCCATTTGAAAAAATTAATTTTAAAAAATAAACATATATTTCTAAAATTTAAGTTACATTAAACCAATTTTAATTTTTAAAATAAGTAATTTAATATATAAACCATAATATATTATGATTATGTTTTAATAAAATAATATTATTTTTAATTTTTGGAAAAACAGGCTGACTCTTTAGCCTAGGAAAGCTGATCCGACCTAAAACTCCTGAACTGTGGGCCAAACAGCCCTGCCCAAAAAAGTTATTTGCTTGAAAAGTCAGGCAATTTTTTCCCACAACCCATTATTTCTTTCTGCAACTCCATATCCCATGCAAAACTAATATACCCTTCCAATAATTTTTGTTTCAAATCCTAAGACCTTATTCTATTCTCTGCATATCTTCTGCATATCCATTATCCATCAATAATTATTAATATTATGTATATATTACATAATCCTTATACTGATATTATACATTAAGACTCAAATTGTTCAATCCGAAATAATTTTTTGAAAATCAAATTAAGTTTTGAAATATCCAATCCAAAAAATGGATCCAGAACAAGATTTCCAGAAACAAGTTCCGGAAAGTGGGTTGTGAAACAATATGTCTAGAAAGTGGGTTCTAAAATATATTTTCAGAAAAAAATTTACAGAAATACATTCCAAAAAATAGATTTTGAAATACATTTTTAGAATTAATTTTTCAGAAACGCAATTCCAGAAATATATTACGAAAACCCACTTTCCAAATCTTGTTTCCAGAAAATCTTTTCCCAAAATATATTCCCAATTCCTAGTCCAGAACGTTTCCAACCAAAAATCTTGTTATGCACATACTGTACATGATAAAACAAATTGCTACAAACTAAAAATAATTCAAAATTATTACCTGTTTCTTATAATTCTTGAAATAATGAGAGAAGGATGAAAATACTAATTTAATTATGGAGGAGCGGAAGAAACTATGGAGGTCCAGCAAGAAAGTGTCTAAAAGTCACCTATTTTGGGCTGGTCTAATCTGTCCTATGGATTTTTCATGTTGTTCAATCGGTTCATACGTGTTGTGACACCTCTAATCAAAATATCTAGTTACTGATTTCCAAAGTATCTACCAGCACCACAATCTCCATAATCAGACCAACACTTTGTAAATATGATCATAAAAAGCTGATCGAGGAGGATTCAATTAAATGAATAACAAAATAATCCATCCCAAAAAAATTGATGTGGTTGAATGAATCCCTTCAACTACATAAATGAATTTGCGTAGTAACATGTCCATGCAACCATTTGCTAGACTAGTGAGAGGAAAGAAAGCAAAGGGGAAAAGCTAGAAATTTAAATTGATGGGAAAATAGAAGAAAAAATTGATTTTTTTTTCCTAGAAGTCAGTCTTTCTCCATTTTCCTTTCACTTTCTCTCCAACAAAACAAAGTGTTGAATATAGAGAAAATAAGGTTTGGAATTAATTTCCCTTGTGTATAAATCACATATAGGGTGGGTGGTCTATTTATAATAGAGAGATACAACTAAAAGAGTAACTGAAAATAACAGAATAAACAGAAGATATTGTTTGATATTGTGGTTACCAATATCTAACAATATCTTAACAATATCAAATAATATCTAAACAATATCTAACACTCCCCCCCAAGCTGGAGCATACAAATCGTATGTGTCAAACTTGTTACAAATATAATCAATTCTAGGACCTCGTAAAGATTTAGTAAAAATATCTGCTAACTGATCACTTGAGTTAACAAACTCAGTCTTGATATCGCCAAACATAATCTTTTCTCGAATAAAATGACAATCAATCTCAATGTGTTTGGTCCTCTCATGAAAGAGAGGATTAGAACTAATATGAAGAGCAGCCTGATTGTCACACACAAGTGTCATTTGAGTGACATCTTCAAATTGTAATTCTCTAAGCAATTGCTTGAGCCAAACAAGTTCACAGGAAGCTGAGGCCATAGCTCTATATTTTGCTTCTGCACTGGATCTTGCCATAACACTTTGTTTCTTACTTTTCCATGAGATCAAGTTACCACCAATGGAGACACAATATCCAGATGTAGATCTTCTATCCGAAGGAGATCCTGCCCAATCAGCATCTGAGTAGCAAACAACTCTTGTATGGTTATTAGAACCATATAACAATCCTTTTCTAGGAGATCCTTTAATATACTTCAAGATACGAATGACTGCATTCCAATGATCTTCACATGGTAAATTAAGAAATTGACTTACCACACTGATCGCAAAGGAAATGTCGGGACGAGTAAGCGTAAGATAATTCAATTTTCCAACCAATCTTCTATACTTGCTCGGGATCAGATATAGGCTCCTCCGATTTGGTAGAAGTTTAGTATTGGGATCCATGGGTGTATCAACGAGACTTTGAACTCATCAACCTAGTTTCCTCCAAAATATCTATGGCATACTTCCTCCGAGATATAACAATACCATAATTGGACTGTGCCACCTCAATACCCAAGAAATATCTAAGTTTGCCAAGATCTTTGATTCGAAAATGGTGACAGAGATGTTGTTTCAACTGAGAGATGTCATGGTTGTCACTACCTGTAAGAACGATGTCATCAACATATACTATCAAGTAAGCACATCCAGCACTCAAGTGTCGATAAAAGACAGAATGATCTGATTCACACCGAGTCATACCAAATTGTTGAACAACCTTGCTAAACTTTCCAAACCAAGCCCTAAGAGACTGTTTTAGGCCATATAGGGATTTGCGAAGACGACATACCATCCCGAGAAGACTCCCCCGAGCAACAAACCCAGGAGGTTGCTCCATATATATTTCTTCTTGCAAATCACGAGGAAATCATTTTTAACATCCGAGTTGATAAAGAGGCTATTGTTGAAGAGCGACCATGGCGATAAATAAATGAACGAAGCCATCTTTGCCACGGGGGAAAAGGTATCTCCATAATCCAACCCAAAAATTTGAGTATAACCTTTGGCCACAAGACGAGCTTTGAGGCGATCAATAGTACCATCAGGTCCAACTTTGATAGCAAACACCCACCTGCAACCAACAACAGATTTTCCAAATGGTAACGAGACCAATTCCCAAGTTCCACTATTATGAAGAACACTTAGTTCATCTAACATGGCCTGACGCCAACCAGGATGGGCTAAAGCTTCACAAACAGTTTTTGGAATGGTCCCAGAGGAAATACATGTATAAAAAGGTAATGACAGTCGATGATAACTCAAAGCAATATAATGGGGAGAAGGATTACGTGTAGAACGAATACCTTTTCGGAGAGCAACGGGAAGGTCAGACTCATGTGTCAGATCCGGAGGAGACAAAGTAGTCGGCACTTGAGTAGAGTCACATGGTGGTGGTTGTGATTGGTTTCGAGAACTATAAATCTGAAGAGGCAGTGGAGAAGAAGCTGACTGCGGAGCAGGAACTAATAGTGAAGAAGACACAGTTAGAGGGTCACAAACAACAGGAACATTAAATGTATTAGGAGTGTTGACAAGATTGGATGGAGACAGAGGTGAAGATTGACTTTTAAAATAAAGAGACAACTCATCAAAGGTGACATCTTTTGACACAAAATAACGGTTAAGAGAAGGAGAAAAACATTTGTATCCTTTTTGTGATCTTGTAAACCCTAAGAAAACACATTTATGTGATCTAGGAGAAAGTTTGTCAAGACCAGAACTGAAATTATGAACAAAACATGTAGACCCGAAAACTTTCAGAGGTAAAGGATGAAGTGGTTCATGAGGGAATAAAATGAAATGAGGTATTTTATTATCTAAAATCGAAGAAGGCATGCGATTAATGAGATAACATGCAGTAAGAAGAGCATCACCCCAAAAATGTTGAGGAACATCTCCATGAATTAAAAGTGTGCAAGTTGTTTCAATAAGATGTCTATTTTTACGTTCAGCTACACCATTGTGTTGAGGTGTATAAACACAAGAAGTTTGATGCAAAATACCGTGAGAAGCCATGAATTGTTTAAAAGAATGAGAAAGATATTCACGGTCATTATCACTACGCAAAACTCTAATAGAAACACCGAACTGAGTTTGAATTTCATTAAAAAAAATTTGAAAGATATGAAATAATTCAGAACAATTTTTCATCAAAAATAACCAAGTGCATCTGGAATAATCATCAATGAAAGTAAAAAAGTATTGAAAACCTAAAATAGACTTAACGCGGCTAGGTCCCCAAATGTCAGAGTGAACCACGGCAGAAGGGGACGAAGCACCACGTGTGAAACTAAGAGGAAAGGAAGTACGACTATATTTGCCTAATTGACATGACTCACACGCCAAACTAGATAAGTTGGACAAGACAGGGACAAGTTTATGTAACTTGACAAGACTTGGATGACTTAATTGAGCATGAAGAAGAGAGGGAGACTCCATAACTGTACTAACATGTGTAGAGGGACGGAGATAATAAAGACCATGAGAATCACATCCTGTGCCAATCACCTGTTTCGAACTCTGATCCTGTAAACACACAGAATTATTGGTAAAAGTAACAACACAATTAAGAGAACGAGTTAGACGGTCGATGGACAACGAGGTTAAAAGGAGACTCGGGGACATAAAGAACATTATCAATGGTTAAAGAAGGAAAAAGTTTAACCGTTCCAACACCATGAGATGATACTCTAGAGCCATCAGTCAGTGTAACAGAAGGTAAATGATTAGGAGAGGATAAAGAGGAGAACAAAGATTTGTTACCAGTAATATGATCAATGGCTCCCGAATCAAAAACCCAATGACCAGGAGAAAATGATTGGGTCAGACCAGCAAAATATGTATTTGTATGTGTGACAGATATAGTGGAACTAGAAGACTGTTGATCCTTATACCATTCGAGAAATTTGTTGAACATAGCAGGCATGTCGGATGCAATAGAAGAAGGAAGATCCCCTGCAGATAAAGGTGGGGAAAGATTGGTGTGAACAACTACAGCAGATTGAGGAGGACGATCATGTAATGTATAACACTTGTTAATCTTGTGACCTAGCTTGCCACAATGTTCACACTTAGGACGCCTTTTTTCCTGTTTGCGAGGGCGAGCCCGGTCATCACGATGAGATGTCAACACAAAAGAATCGTTAACAAAATTGGAAATAGTGGAAGAAGTCATGAAGAGCGGGAGAACAAACCCTAAAATAATTCAATTAACCCACGAAGCACAAATCCAAAATGAGAATACTAAAAATAAGTTCGCCAAGACTAAACGGCGCAGGAGACAATAGGACGACCAACTCCGATAGTGGTGATCTCAATGGCACGGTGGTCACCTGACCGAGACAAGCAAAATCATATGTCACCGGTCAAAAAAAAATGAAACTCCGGCGAATTCTCCGGAAGCGACGGATCCGTTGACTGCTCCAACGGCAGCGGTGACAGCAACGTGAACTAGTACACCAGGTAAGTTCCCAAGAAAAAGAGGTGGGTCACTAATGGACACACTTAAATACCAAGTCTTTCCTTGCCAGAACTTTCCTAAACATGCACTTTCACACTACCAAATAAAATTCAGTAACAAAGATAATTCTTTTCTGATGTGGAGGATCAGTTTACCAGCAGCAGTGGGGCGGCTCTAGCAGCGGTGGGGCGGCTCCAACAGTGGATAAAAGGCGGAAAAAAAAAATTCAAGATAACCTTAAGCTCTAGATACCATGTTGAATATAGAAAAAATAAGGTTTGGAATTAATTTTCCTTGTGTATAAATCACATAGGGTGGTCTATTTATAGTAGAGAGATACAACTAAAAGAGTAACTGAAAGTAACAGAATAAACAGAAGATATTGTTTGATATTGTGGTTACCAATATCTAACAATATCAAATAATATCTAAACAATATCTAACACAAAGGAAAAGACATTGTTTTCCATGTTTTCTTTCTTCTCTATTTTTCTTTCTCACTTTAATCGATTCCAAACTACGGAAGATTCAATGTCGAACCTCACCTTACAAACTTATTTTATAAGATTAAACTAAACACCTATCCATAACTAATATGATATAAGAGTCTGTCTAAGCAAGGATTGTTGAGCCCGTCATTCCATCATTTATCAGGTCGCTGTTGCATCAACTATAAATATTCAGTTTCACATTTTCCATATATCTACTCCTTAGCATGAGGAGATGTATTAGACATCTTACGTCAACTAGAGATATAATCCAATTGTAGTATATAAGTGAGGTGCAAACCTTACTTTAATATTGTAGGGATAAATTAGACACCTATCCATTTCTAATACAAACATAACATTAAGTGTGTTGGGATGGGTCCTTCTACATTACTGAGGTGTGGAAATAACTAGAGACATGCCCATGCAGGTAAATGCATAACTAGAAATTTCAGGAAATATGAAGAAGCCTTTGGTTATGGACACTCATTAGTCAAGATATTAACTAGTCTATGTCTTAATGCAGAACTCTGTAATGCAGCAAGAATAATCTTCATAAATTTATTCATCTGATTTTGCAAATGAATGTTGGCTTTGGTTCTTGGAAAATAGTGGATGCGGTTTTGGAGGATCATTCTATAGGAGTAAGTGGGGTTTTAAGCTAGGTGGTCTGGAGGTGATGTTTTATTCACAGCCCAGGATCAGGTTCATACATAAGATCTGGCAGGAATTCCTGAGACACATGCTCTCTGATTAAGTGCATCCTAACATGCTATTTATACATGGTCAGCCTTCAGACTCGCAGTGCAAGCTTCCTGATTGCCAGGTAAAGGGCTGCACGGGAGCATTTAACAGGAAACAGGATCAGGTCAATAGAGGAGATGTGGCCTTGTTGGTTATTTATGTTGAGAAGCTGAGACTTCCTTGATCCACTTCTCTCAAAGAAACCCTTTTATCAAGGTGATGGATGAAGCATGGGCGACTGGTGGTGTTTCCTTTCCATTAAAACCCACCAATACAGTGAGTGTAGTTTTTTATTGCATAGGGATTCAGGCTCCCTTTCAAGTTGTCATCCTTTGCTGGCTACTATGTGTGTCTTCTCAGGGTGAAGCACTTAGGTGATGTGCATAAGATTTCTATTTGTCAAGGGGTCTGCAGCCCCTGGGGCAATCCGGAGGCACCTAAATACCACCATTGATGGATATATTGAAAATATTATGACACTGATACTTTATTTTCAGCAAAGGACTATCTTTGTCCAGATGTTGGGAAATAATAACCTATTATACAGGGATGGCTGTATGAATGAAATTTCTACAGAAAAAATGAATACAAGAATCAAAAGTGCATCACAAAAGGCCTCAGTTTTCTATCAGTCCTGGCTCAAATCATTATTTAAAATATTAAGTAATTACTTCCTATAAAAGGAGTCAGCACAGTAAGAACTTACCCTGTATTTCCGTGCATATCTTAAGGCTTCAAGGTAGTATCCATCCTGCACAAGCAGCAAAACATAATCATGATGTAAACCCAATTGTCTCAGCATATCCAGACCAAGCTTCCTAGCTTGGGCATTCTGGCGACCAGACTCAAGGAGTTGTAGTGCAACTTCCTTAGAGGGCTCCAGAATCTGCAATGAAAAGAGACAAATATTAGAATCAAACTAATCATAATTAACATAAAAGGCTTCCCACTACAAAATTTTCTAACCTTGTTTAAGACAAACAACCCAAGCTCTGCATAACGTTCATGGCGAGCCAAAAGTTGAATTATTAATACATAAACATTTGGGAGTACACGTATCTTTTCTGAATTTGCACTGTACCAATAATAAAGTTGAAGATTCAATAGTGGAGGCAAAATTTTACTAAATCAAGAAAAATAAAGCATAAAAGCACATCAATATCTATCATTTAAAATGGACACCTGGTACAATATAACTGACCTAATATATGTTTACATAACATCCTAAATCAAGTCAACGGTTAGCTAATGGTAAGATTTTTCTAGACTCATCTTATTTACTTACAAATTATGATATTATGACAGTGGACCAAACAAAAACCCATTACAAACTAGAGCAAATGTATCAAATGTCTTCAGCGTCATTGAAACAACTAAGTAATTGTTGGAAATAGGAGCATGCAATGATTATTATCTTTCTAAGTAGTTCAGCTAGTGTTTAGCATAGTGCAATATTCCTTGGGAATTTGTGATGTAAGAATGGTTCTCTTAAAAATAGTAGTTGTTACTTATCATCTTTGTAATCATTCTTATCATAAACAAATCAATCTGCTGAGTGGAAAAGATACTACAACAGAGTCAGAAAATTTCTTTTCTCATTTTCTCACACTAGCTCAAAATAATAGCATACCTGTGAAGGAACTCAATAATGATCGCAACCAAGTAAGAAGGGTCTCCGACCATCTCTTCATCAACAGGAGAAAAGACAAAGCTGTACATCTCATCTGGTGAAATTGCTGCAGAAGTAAGTTGTGATTCCTCTTGCCCAGACTGAAGAGATGATTGTTCAACATAAGCACTATGGGCCGCCTTTGAATTGTGTTTTGGATTTGCAGACCAAGAATCATCCTCAGAATCCAAACTTGAAACAGTTGAAGCTTTATTAACAGATCCACTGTCTACTCTTTTCATAGATTCATGGATGACTGATTTTCCAATTACATCTGTTTCGATAGCAGATACCTCAGCACCAGTATTTTGAACAGAAGTTGAAGTCTTCTCTGGTTTCAGTCCCTTGAGATAGTTTCCAGTTTTAATTGAATGGGAGTATGAGGTGACTAGTACATTTACAGCCTTGGCAACCACAGGCACTGGCCTATGCTCTAGAATTAGTGTACGTGTTATACCCAAGCACAGTTGTTTAGCCTGAAAAGCAGACACGAGGTGTCATTTTTGTGAAGAAATTAATTATTTCAAACCAGACAAATATAGATGAGAATACTATTAATAACTTTAGATATATATTTTTCTTTTACATTATAAAATGACATTCTAGGAAATCTACGTACAAAATCATTTCCTTCAGGGGCCCATTTAGATTAGTTTTTTTCTCCATAATCACATTCTAGAGTTCCACTAAAATACATAAAACAAAGGTTAAAGGGAATTTTGAATTCTCATAATTAGCAAGAAAATTACAAGGTGCTTCCAATTTCCAATAAAGAAGTTTAACCTAATTATATTTAACAATCCTGAATACAGCTATGCAACACCTTAAATCCCTGATGCAAACCAGAATAACTTTTCCAGACAATCAAATTAATAATCATTCTTTTGCTAGATAGATGATACCTATCCACTGTTAAATGTCTATTTAATGCACTTCAGTTCTCATGACAATCACACATATTAATCTTGTACAGAGGGATACTAAGGTGCAAAGGTCTCCCTCCTACCTAAATGACTTGAGCAAAAAAGCATGAAGTAAAAGCTAACTCTATCTCAAGGACTCAAATTTGATAAACCTAGCTAACCATTTAAATTAAAAAATAAATGGATGAGTTTATTGCATTAACTATGCTAAAGCTGGGATGCATAAAAAGAACTTAATGCATAAATCTATGCAAGAGGATACCTAAAGGTGGCAAGTGATATCAGGAAAACTTCATTGTAAAAACTAGTCCTAAAGCCAGGGTGTGTAAAAAAATTCAGAACAAGAGACTTTTTAGCTTAGTACTTTCCTTTCTCAGAAGCTACGCCTGCAACATCTAGAAATGAGAGATTATCATCCAGCAAGGTGATAAAACTTCCCAAATTTGAGAAACAAGATTTCAATCAGCATATAGTGATCTAAGCTGACTACTGGTACTGTAGTAACAGCTCCTATAAATAAAGTTCTCAATACACATTAGTGGGCATAATTCCAATTACAAACTAATTACATGAAAACTGACTTGTGGACTGAATTAAAAAGAAATAGCCAATAATAGAAACTGCTTCACGAATACACCCAGAAGAATTAATCAATTAGAAGCATTGGTATAACGAGGCAGGGAGAAAGATACCTTGTTAGCTTCCAACCTTCGCCGCTGCAGGAACTCTAATACTGATGGGACCTCCGAGCTACTAGCGGAGATTGCCTGCAAGATAGAATTATTTGTGAAAAAGAAAGCACATAAATTCAGTATTGAAATATACACAAATAACTTACCTCTAAGTCTAAATTGAACTTCCACAATAACTTATTGGCCACATCACATACAAGGTCAGGCACTAGGAAAGTCCATGTATTGGAGTATGTAACAGCTTCATGACTACTCAAAACATTACTATCTGAGCTCTCACTTTCTCTACCATTAGATTGAGATGAAGTACTGGATCTGGGGAAACCCCTTAATAATAAAGGAAGTGGTGCAGATATTGGTGCTCGAGAATCTGCAAAGAGATCATAAAGTATAACAACCTTTGCATCAACTTGATGAATAAGAAGTACATTGTCGACCACACTCACGGCAATCCTGTTGGAATAAATTGGTAAAGAGCCCTGCATGTACCATGCACATCAGTCTAATATTTTCAAGTCTATAGTTCAGTAGAGAATTACATAACTACTACTTTCATACAAGCTCTAGGATAGCATATCCCAAATGGTCATATCTTATTTGTGTAACCTAGTTAACGTGTCTTTACTGAATTAATATATGAGGTGTGTTAGAATCATTACTTCCTATTATTATCATTAGACCTAACTATAAGGTATTGAGTGTGGGAAACCTCCTCCATCTGTATCTAGATCTGCACCTAGGGTCCTAGTTGCAATCTCTTACTCAGTTTTCTATGTTTCTTGTATTAGATTTTCATCATAAATAGAAGAAAGGGAGAAGGGTCCTATAAGCCCTGAATACATTTTTTTCTCTATTAATCTTAAGTTGGTATCAGAGCAGGTTGATCCTGCTCTGCCCTTCCGACCACCATCAGGTCATTGTCTGGCCACCGTCCGGCAACAGTCCGGCAACTTTTCCGATTATTTTTTGTCACTTTTTGGCAACCGTCCGACCTCCCTGTCCTGTCACTCTTTTTGCTACTGTCCAACGACTTTCCGACCGCATTCCGATGACATTCCGGCCACTGTCCAACATCTTCTAGTGATCTTCCGGCTTCTGTTCCGCTACAGCTGTCCGCTATTGCCATTCGTCAGTCACCGCTGTCCGCGGATGTCCACCATTAGCCACCGCTGTTCGTGGCAGTCCAAGCTCAGTTCTATCACTATTCTCTGTTCAACTGTCCAACACTTTCAAGCAACTATCGATCGTTGTCTACCTCCTTCCGCCGCTATTAGCCGCCGCACACTGTCGTGCACTCGTCGGATCGTCACCTCAATAGCTTTCGCCAAAACTTCCTCTGTTCGTTTTGACCTTCCAAACCAAGTTTTGGTGAAGTCCAGACGTTCCCCTTTTGGAAATCTCCCTAGGACTTTCAAAAATCTGCGCTGTTTTTTGCGTATCTACTCTCTGTTTTTTGTCCTCTTGATCAGAAATGGTATCTGGAAGTGCTGGAAGCGCTATTTCATTCTCTGGAAGTCCTTCCCTTACTTTCGAAAAACTAAACGGACAAAATTACCTCTCTTGGTCCACTGCCGTCGAGATGTGGTTCCTTGGCCAGGGACATCATGACCATCTTGAGAAAGATGGAAGCCATGTGCCTGAAGAAAAAGCCGAACAGTGGAAGCAAGCAAATTTTAAGTTGTGTGCCCTATTGTGGCAATTTGTGGAGCGAAGACTTTTAATGTCTCTTAGGTCCTTCAAGACATGTCACTCTTTTTGGAAGAGGACTCAAAACATATATGCCAATTATATCCAACGCCTTTATGATTCGACAAACAAGCTGGCATCTCTGAAAATGACCAACCATGATATGATCTCCTTCATGAATGAAGCACAATCAGCCGTGAAAGACCTGTGGATGTTCTTGGAGGTCGATGCTTCAGATGAACTGAAGAAGAAGTTTGACAAATACTATATGGTGATGATTCTTCACTCTATACATCCAGACTTCAACCATATCAGAGATCAGCTTCTAACCTCTCATGAGGTCCCTTCCATGGACACCTTAATCCAACGCATGGTTCATGTCCCAACACATGAAACTTTGGAAACTCATGCTCTAGTAGAACCATCTGTTATGGTTGCCACTCGAGGAAGAGGAGGACGTGGAACTAGAGGAGGCGGACGTAGTGGTCGTGGGCGTCCTCAGTGTACATATTGCAAAAGGATGGGTCACACCCAGGAAAACAGTTACTCCTTACACGGTTTTCCTTCCAAAACAGCCAATGTCTCTCATGCTGAAACGACTGGACCCAAATTCACTGAGGACGAGTATCAAGAGTACCTACGACTCAAGTCCAACAGCTTAACACAACCATCTCAAGCTCCAAGTACATCAACAGCTTGCATCTCTCAATCCATGGAAAGTCACAATTCATGAATAATTGATTCCGGTGCTTCTGACCATATCTCTGGTAATACCTCCTTGTTCTCAACCATTTCATTTCAATACAAACCTCATTTTATAACCCTTGCAAATGGCTCTAAAACTTCCTCGAAGGGAGTTGGTCAAGTCATCCTATCTCCCTCCTTAAATCTAAAATTTGTACTTTTTATCCCTAATTGTCCCTTCAATTTAATTTCCTTAAGTCAATTAACCAAAATGTTAAATTGTTCAGTAACCTTCAATTGGAGACAGATTGGAGAAGGATATGAAGCAAGAGGATTATATCATTTTGGATCTCGTCCACGAGTGTCATGTGTTGCAACGCCTAGTCCTAAAATGTTACATGATCGGCTTGGCCACCCTTATCTATCCAAGTTAAAAAAAATGCGTCCTGAACTTAGTGGTCTCCAGACCTTAGAATGTGAGTCATGTCAACTAGGCAAACATATTAGATCTACCTTTCCTAAAAGGTCTCAATCAAAAAATAATTCTTGTTTTTCTATCATCCATTCTGATATTTGGGGACCTAGCCGTGTTTCATCTTTTGGTTTTAGATATTTTGTTACTTTCATTGGTGAATTTTCGAGATGTACTTGAGTTTATCTTATGAAAGATTGCTCTGAATTATTATCCATCTTCACATCCTTTTTAAATGAAATTAAGAATCAATCCGGGCAAGTGATCAAAATCTTGAGAAGTGACAATGCCAAGGAGTACTTCTCATCTGCTTTTTCTGCCGTTTTGAGTTCACATAGTATCTTGCATCAGTCCACTTGTCCTCATACGCCACAGCAAAATGGTATAGCAGAAAGGAAAAATAGACACTTGGTTGAAACTGCTTGTACCCTTTTGTTTAGTGCCCATATTCTTGTCCATCATTGGGGAGATGCCATCTTAACTACATGTTTTCTTATTAATCGGATGCAATCATCCTCTCTCAATCATAAGGTCCCTTTCTCCATTTTGTTTCCAGATAATCCTCTTTTCCACATTTCTCCTTATGTTTTTGGTTGTATATGTTTTGTTCATGACATGTCTCCAGGGTTAGACAAGCTTTCTGCTCGCTCTCTCAAATGTGTCTTCTTGGGCTATTACCGTCTTTAGAAAGGATATCGTTGTTACTCTCCTGAAATGAAGAAATAGTACATGTCTTCCAATGTCACGTTCTTTGAATAGACCCCTTACTTCTCTCCATTTGTTCAAGATATTCATGTCATACAGCAGGGTCTCCCTATTCCAGTAGTTGAGTACAATCTTTCCAATGTCTCTATCAATCCTGGTCAAAATCTTGATCAAAGTCTGCTTGAGCCATCATCTCCACCTATTCATACCCCCCATACGGATAGTCCCATTTTCCAAGAACATGGTGAATCCCCTACTTCAGATGCTTCTCCCTCATCCCTTGATACCACGACTCCTGGTGATGGTGATTCAGGCTGGCCCATTGCTCTCAGAAAAGGTACTCGTTCCACTCAAAACCCACATCCCATTTATAATTTTCTTAGCTATCACAGATTATCGCCTTCCTATTGTTCCCTTTTATCTTCAATATCTTCTGTTGTTCCCAAAAATGTGAATGAAGCACTTGATCATCCTGGATGGCGACAAGCCATGATTGCAGAGATGTAGGCTCTTGAACACAGTCATACTTGGAAGCTTGTGCCCCTCCCATCGGGTAAGAAGGCTGTTGGTTGCCGATGGGTGTATGCGGTTAAAGTTGGCCCTGGTGGTCAAGTTGATCGACTCAAAGCTTGATTGGTTGCAAAAGGATACACTCAGGTTTATGGTCTTGATTATTGTGACACTTTCTCTCTCGTGGCCAAGATGACTACTATTCGTCTCTTCTTTGCAATGGCAGTCATTCGTCACAGACCACTTCATCAATTGGATATCAAAAATGTCTTCCTCCATGGTGATCTTGAGGAAGAGGTTTACATGGAGCAACCTCCTGGGTTCGTTGCTCAGGGGGAGTCTGGTATGGTATGCAAATTACATCGTTCTCTATATGGCCTCAAGCAATCACCACGTGCTTGGTATGGAAAATTCAGCTCCATTGTTAAAAAATTTGGGCTAAGACGTAGTGAAGGAGACCATTCTGTCTTTTACTATCATACATCTCTCGGAAAATGTGTTTACCAAATAGTATATGTTGATGTTATAGTCATTACAGGAAATTGGAATATCTCGACTAAAGGAGTACTTGTGTAGACATTTTCAAACCAAGGATCTTGGAAGCCTCAAGTACTTCTTGGGCATTGAAGTAGCTCAGTCAAAAGATGGAGTTGTAATCTCTCAAAGGAAGTATGCTCTTGATATGCAAGAAACAGGAATGATTGATTGTAGACCAGTAGATAGTCCTATGGATTCAAATCAAAAGCTAACGACAGAAGAAGGTGAATTATTCTCTGATCCAGAGAGATATAGGCGGCTTGTTGGAAAACTAATTTATCTTACTATTACGAGGCTTGATCTATCTTTTGCAATTGGAGTGGTCAGTTAGTTTATGCAGACTCTCCATATCTTGGACATTAGAATGCCATCATCCGTATTTTAAGGTACCTCAAGAAGGCTCCTGGACAGGGTTTACTATGTGAAGATAAAGGAAATGTTCAAGTCTTCGGGTATTGTGATGCTAATTGGGCAGGCTCCCCTATTGACAGACGCTCTACTACAGGATATTGTGTCCTCCTTGGAGGAAATGTTATCTCATGGAAAAGTAAGAAGCAAAATGTAGTGGCCCGATCATCCGCTGAAGCTGAATATCGGGCAATGGCGTCTCTCACTTGTGAACTCGTATGGGTAAAGCAATTTCTTCGGGAGCTTAATTTTTGCGAAATCCAAACCATGAAGATGTACTGTGACAACCAAGCTGCTCTCCACATTGCATCAAATCCAGTGTTTCATGAGAGGACTAAACACATAGAAATTGACTGCCATTTTGTTTGGGAAAAATTAATGTCCAAGGAAATTTGTACTGAGTTCGTTGGGTCAAATGACCAACTTGCAGATATGTTGACCAAGTCATTAAGGGGACCTCAGATTGAATTCATTTGTTCCAAGCTTGGTTCATACAATTTGTATGCTCCAGCTTAAGGGGGGTGTTAGAATCATTACTTCTTAGTATTATCATTAGACCTAAGTATAGGATGTTGAGTGTGGGAAACCTCCTACATCTGTGTCTAGATCTGCACCTAGGGTCCTAGTTGCAGTCTCTTACTTAGTTTTCTATGTTTCATTGTATCAGATTTCCATTATAAATAGAAGAAAGGGAGAAGGGTCCTATAAGCCCTGAATACATTTTTTTCTCTATTAATCTTAAGTAGGTGTTTAACATAGTTATAATTGTTCTGTTCTAGATTAGAGAGTAAATTAGTATATACGTGATTGTATTGTTGTATAGATGTGTAGCGCATAGGAAATTGTTAGAAAATCAATGTTTATTATGTCTAGCATATGCTTTGAAATACTTGTGGTAACCTTCCTCCTTAAAATCTTTGAAAATTCAATCTTTGTTTTTTGTTTTATATTGATTGTAGGACTACTTGGAAGGCTAAATGAGGATGAATTAAAGAAATTTACACTCAGTTTTGAAGAATGGAAACATGAGCATTGGAAGGCAATCACATTGACATTGTTGAAATTTGCTTGCTGCCTAGTGTGTTAAAATGCCTAGAAGTGTGTTTGATCATCCAGGACCAAGCTGATTACATGTAACTATAGACCTGTGCACGTTTAAACTTTAAACATCCAAGATTGCTTTGAAAGATACCGAGCTCATCAAGATTTATATAAATAGTTGTTACTAATTTAGAAGATGAACTTTTAATGATTAGAAAACATTTTGTAACTGAGGAACACTTACTTGAGGAATTACCAATCTATCTCATCAAATGGTAATAGAGATCACTTTTTTCTTATTTTCTATCTCTACTGTTTATTCCTTTTTCCATGTATCACTAAATTCATAGGTTGTGGAAGAGGAATTATTCAATTCCTGTGTGATTTGATTGGTTCCATTTCATCTCAATTTTCATTTTTACCCTCAAATTGAGTGACTAGCTTTATACTTTATGCAATTAATTCAAATGGAAAAATGATTGAGTTGGATTTTGAGGAATTTCATCATAGTTGTTGGAACCTACAAATAGGACTTGATAAACTAAGAGATCTTACAAAATACAAACTCATGTTGAATTCTAGCTTTGGTTGGGGATTTGGGAATATCTAAAGAATTAGGGTTTTGGTTAGCACAAAGGGCTTAAATTTCAAGGATTTGAATTTAGCCTAATGTAGCATATTTGAGTTGGAATTGGTTGAGATTTACTTGGATTGAAAGCTGAATTTAATTACTTAAGAGGAAAATAGAGAGGAATCTGACCCTAGCTGCAGTTCATCATTGTTAGTTCAATTTTGATCCTTGGACTTGTGCTTTGTGCTCTGCTTTTGCATTCTTTCTTCCGTTTTATTTTTCAAATCACTCAATGGAATGCATCTCTTCCTTGTAGTTTAATGTGATTTAGTACTTGAATCTAATCCATGTGGGAACAACTACTTTATTACTTGATTCGACTTGGTTAGAATTTAGAAAAGTTTTCCCAATTGCTATTTAAATAAGAAATTAGAGTGAACTGAAATAGTAAATCATTCAGAATTTGAGTAAAAACCAACCTGCTGTATCACTGCATCACGATATAGCCGATAAGAATGGAGCAGCATAGCAACTCTATCAACTTGCAAGCAGTATATCCTACCGTAACTGTGGTTGATTGTTAAAGATAGAAAACTATAAATAGGAAGCTATGATAATTATAAAGGTATAAGATTGATGAAGTAAATAACTGATACATACACAGTGACAATAAAGACATCCTCAGCTGCTAAAACAGGCTTACTATTTGCCTCAGATTTGGCCATAACCATCTCAAATCTTGGCAAGCGAACAATATCTGCAGATGAAATCTAAGAAAGGCATTGCTGTATTAGCCAAAAAGAAATAGCACAGGAGCTTTGTTAATTGATATTCTAAATTAATAGTCATGAGTCATAGCAAGCACTATTACACAAGCTGCATTGATACATGTCATTCTTTTCTAAATAATAATGATATATAACCTTATTTTGAAATAAAAATTACTATTCTTCATGGTAATATCTTCTTAATCTAAGTATCACAAGAAACAGAAGAAAGCAATACACACTCTCACCTGAAATCCGTGGAATGTCTTGCACTGCATGCCAGAAGCAAGAAGAACCAAGCGACTTTCATGGGTGTAAACATACCAACTCACATTCAGTTTCTTTGCTTGCACCAGTTGGAGGGAGTTCGACTCCGAATTATATGCATACAGGTCTAGACCGCTGTTGAGGAAGTTTTTAAGTCAGTATATACTTAAAAAAATGAAAAGAGAAGAGAAAAAAAGGAAGGAAAGGAAAATATTGATAAACATACTTGGGAAAATCACATAAAAGAAGCTAGTCATTGTTGGAAAACACAAGGAAATATAAACCCCACACTAAAATATTATAATTCTAATTTGGGACTCAAGTCACACTCCTTTCAATTGGATCATAACATCCTACCATACTCTTAGATGACAGAATAAATTATTCACCCCACAAGACTAAAATAATTCAAGCCTCGTATTCCATTCAGTAATGCAAATACATTGACAAAAATGTTTGATCCAATGAAGCTTCCTCCAAGCCTCAAGAAAATCCAAATTCATTAATTATCCTCTAAATTTTCAAAAATATTTAGGACTGCAGATTTCCAGCTAGGAGGCACTAATACTAGCATTTGATGGGTTTATTCTGAATTTAACAATCAGATCAACAATGAAGAAATAAATAACCTAACCATACCTGGTCTTAACAAGAACGATATCACACTGTTGACTATCTGTCCAAAAAAAACCAATTATGCTTTCTGATTCTGGCCTGCACTTATGGCTAAAAGTACCCCCAGTCTCTCTATCCCAAAACTGTATTTCAAGGTTCGATCGTTGGATTGCTATTACCTTTGTATCTAAAGAATACCGAATAGCTATAATAGGGCCTTCACTTATTGAATCAGCAGTTGGATCGATGAGAGGATCAAAGGGACAGACTTTCCATGAAAAGACCTAAACAATACAAACACAAGCAGACAATGTGATAATGTGATGAAAAAGGAAATACAAATGTAGAAAAATGATTCACCATTTTGAAACAATGCAAAAATCTGGATATACAACATACATACATACATTCATCAAAATATATTTTCCTGATTATATTATCGCTTCCGCTTTATCTGTGTTCAAACTCAATTTAACAAATTATTGACTCACAAATAAATTTTTAATTTAATATCCATTTTAATTTGTGCATCTATTCACCCTCCTCTAGATGTCATGGCCACGAGTTCGATTCCCTAGTGGGCAATCGTTAAGGGAGAGATTGTTGCGAGTTGCACAATTATCCCGTGGCGAAGGTCGGGTGGGCCAAGTCACAATCGGTGGTAGAGGCTAGATGGGTCAAGTCACAATCCAAGTGGGATTCCTCGTAGGACAATTGCTGAGGGGAAGATTGTTGCAGGTAGCATCAATTGTCCCGTGATAGAGGCCGGGTGGACCGAGTCACAATCGAATCGTGACGCTTGGGTTGTTACTCTTAAGTAAAAAAAAGTTGCGCTCTGACTAATGGCTATAGTTTTTGGCCTAGTGGTAAACGTTCAATCCTAACAAGTAACACAATATAATGTAGTAAAGCTGAGTAGCCCTAGGTTGCTATGGGATTAAAAACCCATTTCTACCACTGAGACAACACTGTTTGTAAAATTGTGCTTTCAACCCCTCCATTTTCTAATGCACTTTTTGCTTCAGAAAAACATAGAAAGATTTGAAAATCTTTTGTTAACTATTCCACAAATGTCACCTCTAGTTTGAAATGTCTTTTCACATATAACCAAACTACTTTTCTCTATTTGCTTCTTCTGGTAAATTTCCTAATTCACATTCTACTGATTTTTATATATTTTTTATGTTATTTTCCTATTAATATTACTATCATCTTTTGACTTCATTACTATGTGCTCCTAGATTGATGATGATTGTGCTTATATTACTTATCATGAATTTCTTTAATTTTGGGACTTTTTGTATTTATTTATATGAGCAGTATTATGCTTTTAAAATTAAATTAGTGTCCATCCTGCTACCTGATATCCTGCTATAGCATTTTTATGCTGGTGGCTGTGCTGCTATCTTTAGATTGATAACCATCATAACTGTGTATCGAATTACCTGGTCAGATGTTGAAGAGAGTACCAACTTATTTCCATCATCATAAAATAATTCACCAGATCCAGGAACATTGCAGCGAAGTGGTGGATACTGAATGTAAGCATGTGAAAGACCATCAGATCCACTCAGACCTATATTAGGCTTTGAAGTTGATGCTTTTCCAGACATGTTAAGCTTTCTTTACACAATGCGTGGCAGATGAAAAATAACAACTGCAGCAAAAATCAATCTTTTTTTTATGTATACTAGACAGTAAAAGGTAAATGTAATGCACATATGATTAACAGGAGATATAAGTACCAAATAAACCTGTGGCTGCAACAAGTTGTAGCACTTCCTCTCAGACTAATGATTGAAAACTTATACAAAAACTTCTATTCGTTTGATTCTTCAGCAGCCCTCAGAACAAGGAAACAAGTGGGTGTTCACTAAAAAACCTTCCTTTTAAGCTGTTCGGAGAAATATTTTCAAAGATGAAACATTTATTAGACATGTCAAATGAATGGTAAAAGTATACAGTAGACACAAGAAAATGGTTTTCGCAACATACATGGGAAAGCAAAAAATGTACAATCAGAAACAGCTTCTAACTCTCAAAGTCATGATCCATTTAAGGGTATGATTGTTTAAGTTAAAAGATAGTGATTGTATGATGCAGCATTATTTTAGAGCATTACTTCAAAGCTACACTTAAATCCTCATAAAAACATTAGAAACAAACATTTTTCAGGTTTTCTCTCTCTTTTTTTTAAATTACATAATTATTATAACTTTTTAGACATTCGTTTTTATTAAACTAGCCTTTTTGTCATATAAATTCAAACAAACAGAAAATAAATGAAGTGTGCAAAAAGGTTTCTCATCAGTCTTTCTAAGAATATTGCTCAAAGAGAAAAACATAAAAAGGTATTTCTTTTACTTAAAATGTAAGAAAGAACTTAATAGATGAAAATGCCAAAAACAAAAAATTTATGCCAACCCAATTGTAGAATTCAATACCATGTTCTGCATACAACTTTTTAGTGCCAGAAATTCTTTCACACACATATCACGTTCAATGTCTGGAACCTTCGCTGCAACACAGCTCCCATATGCTTTTCCCTATTAGATGAGGTCTTAACCAAATCAATGTTTATGCTTGTGTCCAACTATCAGACAACAGTACGGAGACAAGAGAAAAGGCAAGAACCTATAATACAACGCATTCTATTTCTTTCCCAACTACCTGACCTCAAAGATAATCACAGTTTTAAAGCATTTATAAACAAAAAAATAAATAAATAAACTCAGTACTTCTGGCAAGTTAAAACAATAAAATCAAGTCAATCATTTACTCAAAGGTACAACAAATTATATAAATTCTACTGTATAGGATTCTAACCACCTAAATGATGTAACGAAAAGGTTCTACACGCAATATTTCACCATCAAACCAAATGCACATTTCTTGCTTGCTCTAAGTAAAACAAAATCAAACCTCAGATGCACAATTCGCTAAAATACGCTTCAGAGTAGAGGCAGTATTCTTCTTCTCTTTCATGTCGACAACAGTGCAAAGTCTAGATAAGCCAAAATTAAACGACAATCATCTGTAACCTAACAAAAAAAAAACCAAAATTATAAACATATTCGTATTTGCAAGTTCCAAAGAAAATTACATTTACTGACTACACGACAACCACCACTAATAATAGCTTAATTTTAATTTCTAGAATCACATGGATTTTCAGACCGGGAATATCAGTAAACGAAGAAGATCATAATCCCTAAGGTACCTTCGCCCAATTTGGTTGCACACCTAGTCTTGCGAGAGTAATAGAAATTAAAAAATAAAAAATACGAGACGAAGAAAATCAATAATCTGCACAAAGCACATATATATATATATATATATATATATATATATATATATATATATATATATATATATATATATTCGTGGGGAGAGCGATGAGAAAACAACGGAAATGTGTGAGAACAAATTTTTACCATCTCAAGAGTTGGCCACATGCATTCTGCCACAGAGTTAATCGTAGATCACGAAGCGGGCTTCTATAAATTCTTCTCTTCAATTCAATTCATAAAATTAATGATATTAATAATGTATAAACACGATGCTGCAGTGGAACTACCTACCAGTCGCATCAGTGCTTGCGTGACTTACTGGTTGGTTTTCCTTTCCTCTGCGCTGCATTATGTCCATGGGCCCAAAGTGGGAGCTCATATTTGGGCTCGTCATGGTAATTTTGTGGCCCAATAAAAATGGACCTCTTGACCATATAACATGGACCTAAAATTCTGACCCGGACCAAAACAAAAGTTGGCATGACAGCATTTTAACTTCGAGAAGGGAGCTACCATATCACGCTACCTTATATTATTTTTTCATTATTTTTCATGAAATTAAATTTTATTCATTTTAATCTCTATAGAATATTGTTTATTCTCATTTCTCTAATTTAAAACCCCTATTACATCTTAACTTTTACTTTAAATAATCTTAAATACAAACGGCTATCGAAATTCATATAATATTAAAAAAATTATAATTTCTAATTTTACGAAAAATAAAAAATGTTTCATTCAAAATTAAAAGTTTTCTAATTTTAAATATGCTAGGATAACATCGTCATAATTGCAATGCCTTACTTTGAAACACTTAATCAATTAGGAAACATGAAGGGGGAAAAGCCCACTAAAGTTATTGAAAAAAATAGATCAATAATGGAAATTTTAAAAGAAAAAAAAACTAATACCCCATCATTAGTTAATTTCTGCATTTATAACTGCTTTCTGATATTTTTGTCATTTTAAACGTGAAACCAATACAATAACGTATTTAGAAAAAGAGGAAATCTCAAACCATCACACCATTGCTAATACTAATGTGCCTAGTAAACATTTTGGGATTGTTTCTTGTATAAAGCTAGGAAGAAAATCACAATATCTTCGTCAATGTTAGAAACATGTCTTTGATGACAGAGAGATTATGCACCATACAACTTAAAAATTAATCTCTTTTAGATTTGACTATGAGAGACATTAATGTCTTTTATGATTGATATATGAGAGATTATATCATCTATTAATAGACTTAAAGTATCATGAGTAAGTCCTCCATAATATCACAATTGACTCTCTAACCTTTAAACTAGTCACACTCAAATGAATTGACTTTTGATCTTTAAGTTTAAAGGGGTTTAAAAAATGAACCAATATAAAAAAAAAATCGAAAACCAATTTAAAATTTTTAAAAATAATCAAATTTGATATTTTTTTTATTTTTTAGGTTTACTTTTTTTTCTCAATAAAACAGTTTGGTTTGGGTATTCAAGTCAAAATCAAAAACCAAACTAAATCTATTATTTATTTGATTTAAATATAGCATTTTATAGAATTAATGAATAAGAACAAAGATATATATAAATATGTCTCTTAAAATTACTTTTACGGTTTAATTATATTTTACTTGTAATATGTTTATACTTGTCAAAACATTATAACAAATTCATACTAGATTTTTAACTATAAATTATGTAATTTAATTATGAATAAAGTAAAAAAATTAAGTTTTAAAATATAATAATAATCATAAAAAATTACAACATATTTATTTATTTGTCATTTTTTTTTATTATAAACCGTTATAAGATTATTATTTTTTATTCTAGCAACTATTTAATAAAAAGTTGAATTTAATTAAACGATGAACCCCTCTAATCACGTCTAATAAATAAGGATGATATACTTAATTAACCAAAGTCAACCATTCTAAATTTTTACAAAAGTTTCTTAAAACTTTCAATTATAGAACTTTCGAAATCCAAATATATAAAAAAAATAATGAATCTAAACTAATTTCGTGTTAATGGATCATTAAACAACAACAATTTGATATGATACAAATTTCCTATTCATTTTCAAATTTGACAATTTTGGATTAATTATACAGTGATGGAATTGCTCACACAAAAGCCATCAAAGACCTTTAATTTGACCTCTTGACTCGCAACTAATCGTGGTGCATAGTTAATGGTTCAAAAGGAAATGCATGATGATTAGGACAAACAATAATAGGGAAATATTTCAAAAGAAAAATATGTGATTTATTTTTTTGGACAAATTATGCTTATAATATGAAACGGGGATTATATATCAAATTCACCCTAATAGATAAAAAAAAATACATAAACTAGCCGTGAAAGTATTAATCTATACATGTATATCTAGGTTGAGAAGAGTCGTTTAATAATATATTTTAACAACGACATAAAATAGTATAATAATATTAATATTAATAATATAAACTGAAAAACAAGGAAAATCAATGCAAAATATGGAGAAATTGAGAAAAAATAAAGCCAACGAAAAGTGAACATGTGTGAAGGCAAAGCCATTATTTAATATGCAATCAATACAATAGACTGGTTTTGATACATTTCCTGGTTCGTACTTCATTTAGCTTTACAGTTTTGAGATGCATTATGATGATGCATGTGTTGTCTATTTGTGGGGGTTAGGAAGATGGCTTTTGTTTCACCCACTTTCCATCAAAGGGCCCCCCCCTACACTCTTAACCATTGAAGAAAAGGTCAATAAGTTAATATGGAGAGAAGTCACGGAAGAAGACTAAGGCTGGCTCAGGGCAACAGAGTCTGCTTTCTTGCTTGTTTAGGACCACTTAGAAATGCCAGAAGCCAAGCCACACAGTCATAGAACAGAGAAAGACCAAGCACTGCTTTTCGAGAGAGAGAGAGAGAGAGAGAGAGAGAGAGAGAGAGATGGTGCATGTAGATTAACACACTAGACGTGAATGTTCTGGCCATGTGACCTAAATAAACCACATGGAAAACCTATACCAGAACCTAAACCAGAAGAAAGAAATGTGAAGTGGACTATGTGTTATTATGTTACATACGTGTTACAGGAAAGACGTGGTGAGAACCAAATGCAAACATAAATCATTATTTCTCAGAAGGGGTAGTGCAATGAAAACCAACTAACTACTGGTACCACTTGTCAATTGACTCATGAGAATGATATTGTCGGGACGATGAGGAAATAAATCTTATCTCAATTAATTAAGGCGATGGTGTTTAATGCAATGATTAGATTAACTAAGCATCCTAATAATTCCAGGAAAAGATATATCTGCTAATAAAACTGCGAAAGCTATCCACTTTTGATTTTTTTCTATAATTGATATTGTCAATAAGAAAACATGAATATATAAAGCATCTGATCACTGTAAAGATTTAGGTATCAGTGAATTATGCATAGAATAATAATGATAACGATAATGACTGTATAGTTAGTAGTCAATATTAGACTTAAACAGTTTATGGTGTCAACATCTTGAGTTATGGATGTGGACCAGTTTTGAGTCATTGAAGAAAATGAAAGGAGACATCATTCATGTGAACGTCGTTAACATACAACTACCAAATTTAGATACTATTCTGTACTATATTTAATGTCAAACTCAAAAGAACATACAAATTTGAATGATTTTCTTTCTCTCTCTCTGTCCCTTCCTCTCCCTCACATGATCTGTCAAAAACAGCGACAACTGAATGGAAATTTTACCTGGGTCAGTCGGTAAAATGTTCATACAAAAAGAACCCACCAATTTACATATTTTGGTAACTAATATATAGTCACCAGCTACTCTATCGGAATCGATCATATCAAAGCAAACAATTAAAATTCATTGGAATGAAATGCTAAGTGGATTGAAACTTGTGTGAAAATTCAAAAACTGGTGAGTCAACCCGACAATATTTCGAGATGCATATTTTCATGTTTTTTTGGTTAAATATGTTTTTGAGTGGACACAAGAGTATTGTACGATTATCAGTGAGACTAATTCTTTTTAGGTTACAAAAATGGATACAACTTTTACCATTAAAATCTTTTCCAAATATAGTGAGAAATCAAAACTGTAATTATAATAATTATAATAATATACTCAAGTAACTCAACAATCGATTAATATATACAGTGGTTCTTTATAACAAATATAAAACTTAATGAAACTAAACACATGTTATCATATCTTACTAAAATAAATAAATAAGTTAAATGGAAGCGAGTTTCCTTTACAAGTTTGTTAAACATAGAAGTGAAATTAATGGATAGCTAGTTTAAGTAGTTGATTGCAAAGTTGTTGATGTGTAATCTTTAGCTAATTTAAGTAATAGTAGTTAACCTATCTATGTCATCGCATGTCTTTAAACAGGGAGTTGAAGAGACTCGTTGTCCTCCAAAGTTTTGTACTTCAGTATGTAATTTATGATTTTATCCCCTAAACTTAATGAACATTTAATATATTTATTTGTATATTTACAATTTTATCCTCTTAATCCATCTTCAGTTTTGTAACTCTTATATATAATTTATGATTTTGTCTCCGTCAAACTTAATGATCATTTAATATATTTAATTATATATTTATAATTTTATCTTTTTACCCTTATCTTTCTTTTATATTTATTTATTATTTATTAATAATATATTATTTGACCCTCTTGAAATCAATGGTTAAAATCCGCTACAGTCTTCAAACATATAAAGTTAACAAGATTATTGTAAACTTAGTGGAAGACGGCTTAGTTTTCATTTAAGAAGTCCAATTAATTCAAAATTGGTAGTAAATTTTTTGCTTCCTAACGTGTTGTAGACTCAAACGTAAATGAAATGGATTCCTTGAATAAGCATATAAGTAGAATAAAAATAGAGTTGAATTGTGTTTTTCTTTGCTTTACTAAAATTTTACGATCCTTACACAGCGGAATTAGACATATACATTGCAAATGACACGACGAATTAAACAAAGTTGATGGACGATAATTAATGCAGATGTTACAACCTTAAGTAAATGTGACTTTTTTTACTTGTCGTGAACACATCGTAACATAAATTAATAAAATTATTAATTTATTTTTAAAATTTAAAATATAGTGTAGGTTGTTACTCAGTTTACTGGAATCTGTTTAATATGTGACTTAAGTAAATTAGATTTATTTTCATCATATTCGATAAAAAAAAACTGTAAGTTGAGTTTATTTACCGATTAGAACCACACATGGACACATCTTGATGTGAAGCTTAATTACATAAATGTAATTAGAAAAACAAGTTCTATAAAGAGAGCAGTCAATCACACAAACATACTTAGACCAAAACACATGCGCATAAATCCCATGTTTCTAGTAGTTAGTTTGAAAGTTTTAAAAATAAAATGTAGCCTTGTGCCTTTCAGAGTACTACTACTAATTAATATTTTTCAAATTGGATAGATTAATCAGTTAAAATAAATTTAAGATTTCAATGGTTCGTATATGTAAAACTAGAATTAAATCAATTTTAATAAAATAATAATAAAATCACATAAAATAATATTAAAAAAAATAATATCATAATGTATATTATTAGAAACTAAAAAGGATGACATAATTTCAATAATATACATAGATATTTACTGATAATAATATGCTTATATTGAAAATAAAAAGTAACAAACATTTTATGTTAATTTAAATTTTTTAACAATAAAAATGATGTTGAGTTGCACATCTTTTATTGATTTACTGTAAAAAAAAATATCGTTTTTTCTTCTTCTTTTTTTATACCAATTTTCTAGCTTTTTGCCCTTTTTTATTCTGCCTATATATATATGAGTGAGTTTTTCTTTTCTTACTCGACAAAAAAATATTGCACCTGGAGGAAAATTTGCCTTTTTTTGGGTACAGAACAAAATTCAACATGTTAACTGTCTGAATTAAGAATAAATTTCTGAATGGGAAACAACTTTTGATAAACCAAAAAATTGATAAAATTAAATGGACCAAGCTATAGTATATGGCATAATTCAGTGGATCCACAAATGCTAATTGAGTTGAATATACGTGAAAAGATGCCCTTTGTGGTCCAAACCCTCAATTTCCGACAACAATGACATCGTACCCTTCAAGCTTCAAAGTTTAAACTGAAGGAGTTCAAAGGACAATTCTTATAGGGTCTTACCTATAGAAAAAACACACATATACATCATGGTGTTATGTTAGGTTCATGCATATATATATATATATATATATATATATATATATATATTAATTGTTAACTACATGTTTGTGTGTGCTAGGTTCTATGTCTACCAAGTACCAAAACCTTTATCCTTTAGGTGGAGAAATGGTGGGTTCTCGTGTTTTCTTTGCCATTTAAATCAGATTTCTTCTTGTTGTTATTTATTTATTTATTATTATTATTATTATTATTATTATAAGCTTTTTATTTTATTTTATTTACTTATATGAAATAAGATATTAATGTTTTTAGTGATGGGCATATGTTAATTTTCTGATGATGTTATTTTCACTCGCAGGTAAATTGTATTTTATGTGGTGGGTTCTTTTATTTGCACCTCATTATATATTGATTATAGTTGTGTCTAAAACAATTTGGAAACGCAAGTCAATTTGGGCATAACACTTTGTTGCATACGATTAAAACAAATAAAGAGATGAGAAGAACGGTAAATCTTCTCAACTAACAAAATGCAATGAATGAGAAAACAAAAATGTATTCTCATCTTACCTCGTCACACCTTTGGTCAATAAAAAATAGATTAGATAGGTAGTCCGAGTTATAAATTTAATGCATCTAGTTAATATATATATTAAAATACATTTATAATGATCTAAATATTTTTTTAAGATTTTATTCATTTATTTATATTTTTATTAAATAAATTAAAAAATTATTACATCTGTATATTAAAATATTCAATTATAATCTATAATTTAAGTTGAATGGGTTAATATTTATAATTTAAATTATAAAATTATAACATATTTATATATTATAACAATATAATATAAAAAATATAATATTTTTATTAATAATTGTTTTTTCTATTTTAATATATATATATATATATATATATATATATATATATATATTTTAAACCAATCAACTCATCCATTAGACGAGGAACTAGACAAAAGATAAAAAATAGACTAATAAACTAAAATTATTAAATGTTTTCATCAGTTTGAAATGTATTGAAAATTATTATTATTTATTAAATTGTTATTATAATTATTTTATTATTATTATATTGTAATTATCAACCTTATTATTATCAATATATATATATATATATATATATTTAAACTAATTTTAATATTAAAAAATTTAAATTAAAATAGACAAAAAAAAATTCAAAGAAAAAAAGTTGCATTTATACTCTCTTTTTTCTCGTTATCGCTTTTAATATTTTTCATTGGTCGCTGAACACTATCACGTTTAATTTCTAATATGATTTTATGAAATTCCCTAACAGTTCAAAACCTACAAGTTATTTAGAATCGGTAAAGTAAACGATAGAGAAACATAGCGATGAAATCTTTGTACGTGGTTTGTAGAAGAAAAAAAGAATATATATATATATATATATATATATATATATATATATATATATATATATATATATATATATATATATATATATATATATATCAAATTAGTTATTTTTAACCCTCCCCATACATTAGTGTAGTAAACCAAATTTATTATAAATATAATTAATGTTAGGATTCGTAATGATTTGGTGGAAACATTTATCAATTAATTATTAGAATTCACAAATTAAGTAGTAATGTATATAAATATAATTTTCTTAAGGAATTAGTGACAATTTATCTCAATATATTTAACAATTTCTTGAAATATTAGATTTGAGATAAGATGTAAAATATTTTTATTGTCATAAACGATAATTATTTGTGATATCCTCAAATTTCTGGTCCTTTAAACAATTATTTGAGTCATATAAAGTTCATAGGTGATTGGGTCATAGTCATAACTTTATACTTCACACTAGGTATTGTTACTTGGATTTTGCTTCTTATTTTTTCAATATATCAAATTGTCACTATGACAATACAATATCCAAATGTCAATCTCTAATAAAATGGATAATCTACTTAGTCTACATCATAGCAACTTACAACTTAAATGTGATTATTATGACTATTTAGCAATAATTTTATTAGCACCTTTAATATATTTCAAAATGTGAAAATGCGTACATTATGATGTTTTATACATGGAGAATTCAAAAAATGACTTACCACATTATTTGTGAAAGAATGTTATGATGAGTAATCGTAAAATAATTCAATTTTCCATCAAGTCTTTCTTAGAGAAGTGACTAGGTAGAAATTTTGTATTTGAATCCATAGGTGAGTTAATAGGCTTGAAATTCATAATCAAATTTCTTCTAAAACATACAATTTATACATACTTTCTTTGAGAAATAACAATTTTATTGTTAGTTTGTAATACCTTAATCCCCAATAAATATTTGAGTTTGTTAAATTCTTTTGTTTAGAAATGATAGTAAAGATGTTGTTTTATTTGGAATATGCCATGGTAATCACTACCTATAAGAATAATCAACATACACTACCAAGTATATACACCCACTATTTGTGTGGCGATGAAATGTCAAATGATTTGCTTCATTGTGAGTCATTCCAAATTGTTGGACTACTTTATTGAATATACTAAACCATGTTATTAGAAACTGCTTGAGATCATATAAAGATTTGTGAATGTGACATACTATTCTTCAAGACTCCCCTTAAGCAACAAAATAAGAGGTTACTCCATATAAATTTTCTCCAACAAATCACCATGAAGAAAGACATTTTTGACATCTAATTGATAAAGGGGTCAATGATAAAGGTAGCTACCATGGCAAGGAATAGGAAAACATAAGTCATTATGGTAATTAAAGAGAAGGAGTCACTATAATCCAATTTAAATATATGAGTATAACTTTTGGCAATCAAGTAGATTTTGAGTGATCAATAATGCTATAAGGTCTAACTTTGACCACCTACAACCAATAATAGATTTTTTAGGAGACAAAGCCACAAGATCTCAAGTGTTAGAGTGGTGATATTTTGACAACCGGAAATCATACAACCCTTCAAACAACTCACTTTTATTAATATAATAATCTATAGAATGATTTAATAAAAATAAAAATAAAGTAAAATTATTATTATAATATTAAAATAGAGTTGTTTATAGGAGTTGTATGGATTTGGGTTGTCAAAGTATCATTTTCCCAAGTGTTATTATACCTTAGAGTGCATAATTCAGTAAACATGACTTGTCTATAACTAGAATGGACTAAAACATCACCTATAATTTTAGGAATTGACACAAAGAAAATAGTAAAAAGACATGTATAAAGGGACGGAGACAATCAGTGTTAAGTCATGCTAATATAATGAGTTGAATGATTGTGAGTAGAACATATATCTTTACAAAAAGTAGTGAAAATATCTAACTTAGATGACGGGGTCAAAAGGGACGAAAGAAATGGTCAAGTGGATTTTGAGCGATCAATAATGCTATAAGGCCTAACTTTGACACCTACAACCAATAATAGATTTTTTAGAAAACAAAGTCACAAGCTCACAAGTGTCATTATACCTTAGAGTGCATAATTCAGTAAACATGACTTGTCTATAGCTAGAATGGACTAAAACATCACCTATAATTTTAGGAATTGGCACAAAGAAAATAGTAGAAAGACATGTATAAAGGGATGGAGAAAATCAATGTTAAGTCATGTCAATATAATGAGTTGAATGATTATGAGTAGAGCATATACCTTTACAAAAAGTAGTAGAACTATCCAACTTAAATGGCGGGGTCAAAAGGGACGAAGGAGGTGGTATTGGGGAAGAGTTAATAGGTAACCTTACCGAAAGGTGTAGACATTGTCGATAGTACTCCTAATTAAATCAAAGTAGAGAAATGATTCGAAGGATGTGAAATTAGTAGAGATCAAATAATATTGAAATGGGTAAATAACACTTATATCATTTGTGAGATCTTATTTTGTTATTGTCATACTTGCTGGAAGAAGATGATGAGTTAAAGAATGTTTCACCAAAGATTAATTACGTATGAACACCAAAATCTTAATCAACATTGACGTCACACCGAACAAATAATGAGAAGAAAACAATTAAAACTAAAACATTCACTATAAAAAAAGAAGATTATTAATATATAATAATAATTGTATGTATAATTAATTTTGGTAATGTATAACCATAAATTAAAATCATTGTTTATAACTCACATTTTAGTATATATATATATATATATATATATAAAAGATATTTAGACACCTTTACTTCAACTCCAAACTTTATTTTTCTATGATACATTTTAAATTTGGTCAAATTCTCTTCGTAAAAAAATATAGATCCATATTTAAGTTTTTCATATAAACCAATATTACCACAATTACATTTCTATTATAATTTCTAATATAAAGAGGGAAGATTGAAGTTGGAGTCTAAAATTTGAAGTTATTTCTTATTTTCTTTGCATTATAAAGTTTAAGGAGTTGAAGAACTTTCAATTTAAACTATTCAAAATATGAATAGCAATAAAATGTATCTATATTTTATTTTTTCACGATAGTCACTAAGTTAATCACTAGTATAAAATTGACAAAAGATAATATTTTTTAACGATGATTATATATGAATCGTTGTTGAAAAGATGCAATGATAATTTTATAATTTTTTTAACGATGATTCATCTATGATGGTCGTCATATAATCATTATTGTATATGACGTACAACAATGAGTTATAAATAAAATCGTTGTATGTGACATATTATGACAATTTTAAATAAATCATCGTTATATATGTAAAATATTAATAAATAACGATGATTATATTTATAATTGATAATGTATGTCGATCATTTTAATGACGATCTTTTATAATCGATGTTCTATGTCATATACAATGACATTTATAGAAAAATCGTTTTCATACGTCTCATTAAAATTTTTAACTTCGTCCATTTTTTTAAATTTCATTTTTGCATTTTCAATTCTCTTTTTTTTTCAATTTTCCTCCTTTGTTGCAATTATTCTCTTCCTTTAGTCATCGTGATTTCACTCTTTTCTTCTTCTTTTCTCTCTTTCTTTCTCAAATATTTCTCCCCACCTAAAAGCTTACGGGTTTATCGCAACGGAATAACAAGAGTGTAATGGAAACTTCCTTTATAGAGGAGCAATAACGAGAGACCAGCGTTATCGTAGCGAGAGGTTCTAAGTTTACTTGTATTGCTTATTTATTTGTTGCAAC